CAAAAAAACAAAACAAAACAAAACAAAACAATCCCACAAAACAAACAAGTAAAAATATCTATGATACATGTTTAAAAAAACCCAAAAAACTATAAAAAGGTACAAAGCAAAGAATAAAAGCCTCTCTCCCTCCTGACTCCCAATCACATTTCCCAGAGATGACCACTGTTAAATTCCATGGTAGCCTTCAAGACATATTTCAGGTTTATATTAATAAGCACTTATAAATATTTAAAATATTTTCTCCCTGCTATGAATTTTCCTACTATTAACCCAGAGGGTGATGAGGAAAATTTCATAATACTTATTTAAGTTCCACATATCAAAAAATGTGGTTTAAAAAATACAGGAAAGTTCCTACTGGACATATGTTATATAACATAACTGAACTATACTTAGTTGAGCTAACAAAATCAGCTTAAAAATTAAAATGTATTATAGCAAATAAAGAAAGGCCAGTCTCATTTTTCTCTTAAGATGTCCAGGCATGTAATTTTTTTTTTTTTTTAAGATGGTCTCGTTCTGTTGCCCAGGCTGGAGTGCAGTGGCATGATCTCGGCTCACTACAACCTCTGCCTCCTGGGTTCAAGCAATTCTTCTGCCTCAGCCTCCCAAGTAGCTGGGATTATAGGCACACGCCACCACACCTGGCTAATTTTGGTATTTTTAGTAGAGACAGGTTTTCACCATGTTGGCCAGACTGGTCTCAAACTCCTGACCTCAGGTGATCTGCCTGCCTCGGCCTCCCAAAATGCAGGGATTACAGGGGTGAGCCACCATGCCCGGCCCAGGCATATAAGGGTTTTAACAACATATTTTATAGACTTAAAGACAGCTATAAGCCAAAGCTCAGATCAAACAAATCATTAAGTTATGCCAGCTACTTCCATTGATAATTAAATATCCAATTTAAAGAGCATGCTCAATTTACTCATTCTAATCCTTAAGGAAAAATTTAGCTGAAAAAGTTCTTACAGAAATAAAAAGAACACATACTGAGGCTGAGTATGTATTTGAATGTATCTGTTTTTTGTTGTCAGTATGTTTGAATGAAGACCTAGAGAAAACAGGGCAACATTCACTTTCAAGAGTGGGAGAATGAAGTAGAGCAGGAATAGAATCAGTATATAAATCCTGTCAACATTTATTAGCATTTGCAAATTGGACTCACAAAACCTCAGCCTAATCAGACTGGATTTTTGCACATCATGGCAACAGCATACATCATTGTTTCTGGAGGGATCAGCTGCAGCAGCCTCCTACGGTCCTTTGGTGACAAGGCTTTAATGACTCCATAAATGTATGCTGCCCAGCTGCTGCCTGCTTAATGAGACGACCATTTCCACTTGAGGGAACCTGCTCAGCAGCCAGTTGTCACCTAACATTCACAGGAGACCACGCTGGTCTCTTTCAGAACTACCAGGATCAAAGAGTTACACGAGTTCTATGGTTCCTACAACATAGCAGTATACTGTTTGATTTAGGACTTGAAACACTTTTCTCTCTTTTCAAGAATATACCCTTCTCTGCCAGAAGGTTGTTACTTCTCAGATTAAAGATGTGAAAGGAAACCTTCCAAGGCTCATCTTAATTGGACAAATACATCATCACTTTAGTACACAGGGATTGGATGACAAAAGCTAATCCGGGTATGGAATATGGCAAGGAGGATTCACTAAGAGGATGGAGGAGAGAATTACATTTACTGAACTCTGGCAAGTGCTAGGTGCCTTACATCCTTGCCATTCAAATACAGTCAATGAATCACAGCCTGGCAATCACTTGGGAGCTGGTTACCACTGCAGAATCTCGGATGATCCCCGGATGATTTGTGTGCATGGTCAAGCTTGAGAAGCACCGCGCTAAGTTATAAGGCTTTATTTAATTCTCACAGTCCTTTGAAGAAAACATTATTTCCATACTTCACAGGTAAGAAAACTAAGACAGAAAGTTTCCTTCCTTCTTTTCCTCCTCATTACAGAAAGGATTTGCAGGGGAAAGGGGCATGCCCAAGTTTCTGAGTTGGTCATCGGGAAAGCTGGCGTTCAAGGGTGCACCTACTGCACCCAAAGGCCTGTGCTCTTTCCACCTTCCCCCACCGCCCCAGGCTCCTTGAATGATGGTCAGACTCCACCTAGAACCGTGTTTAGGAACTGGTGCTGCATGCACGCATTCATCCATTCATCCATTTATTTATTGAGCTAGAGTCTTGCTCTGTCACCCAGGCTGGAGTGCAGTGGTATCATCTCGGCTTACTGCAACTTCCACCTTCCAGGTTCAACCAATTATCATGCCTCAGCCTCCCAAGTAGCTGGGATTACAGGTGTGCACTGCTACACCTGGCTAAGTTTTTGTATTTTTAGTAGAGACGGGGTTTCATCATGTTGGCCAGGCTGGTCTTGAACTCCCGACCTAAGGTGATCCGCCCACCTCAGCCTCCCAAAGTGCTGGGATTACAAGCCTGAGCTCACACCTGTAATCCCAGCACCTTGGGAGGCCGAGGAGGGTGGATCACGAGGTCAGGAGATTGAGACCATCCTGGCCAACATGGTGAAACCCTGTCTCTACTAAAAATACAAAAAAAAATTAGCGGGGCATGGTGGCAGGCACCTGTAGTCCCAGCTACTCAGGAGGCTGAGGCAGGAGAATGGCATGAACCTGGGAAGCGGAGCTTGCAGTGAGCTAAGATCACACCACTGCGCTCCAGCCTGGGTGACGGAATGAGACTCCATCTCAAAAACAAAAACAAAGAACAAAAAACAAGCCTGAGCCACCGCACCAGGCCTGGTACTGCATTTGAAAATGCAACCTGTGGCATGTATGAGGGTGAGTGGTAAGTTTCAGTCATATATGTCTATCAGAATGACTAAAAACAAAAGTAAAAACCACAAAAATGCTAAGTGCTGGTGAGGCAACAGGAACTCTCACACACTGCTAGTGGGAACGCACAATGGTACGGCCACCACGGAAAGCAGGTTGGCAGTTTCTACTAAAATGAAAGAATCCCACTCCAAGGCCTTGGCCTAGGAGAAAGGAAAATATGCCCACACAGACTTGGATGCAGATATCTATTAGCAGCATTATTTGTAATAGTCAAAAACTAGGAACAACCCATTTGTTCATTAACTGATAAATGAATTGAGATACATCCACAGACTGGAACACTACACAGCAACTTATGTTAAATAAAGACTTTGTATGTATGATTTCATCTTTATAAAATTACAGGAACAGCAAAACTTTAAAGACAGAAGGCAGATGGGTGTTTGTTGGGGCTGGTGATGGGGACTGGGATCCTCTTCAAAGGGACATGAGAAAACTTTTACTAGAAGCGTGATGGAAACGTTCTGTACTGTGATTGCAAGGGTGGTTACACAACTCTACACAATCACTCAAATTCACCAAACTGTACACAGAATGGGTGAGTTTTATTATACATAAATTATAACAATAAAGCTGGAGGGAGGAAAAGGGGAATTTAGACAAGTGGCTGGTAACTATATAAATACAGGTATATCTCAACAGCTTTCACTATAGTAACAATAATCAGTCTAAACACAAAGGAAAGGCCAGGCGTAGTGGCTCATGCCTGTAATTCCAGCACTCTGGGAGGCCCAGGCGGGTGGATCACTTGAGGCCAGGAGTTTGAGACCAGCCTGGGCAACATGGCAAAACCCCTTCTCTACTAGAAACACACACTAAAATTAGCTGGGCATGGTGGCACATGCCTATCATCCCAGCTACTTGGGAGGCTGAGGCAGGAGAACTGCTTGAACCCAGGAGGCAGGGACTACGATGAGCTGAGATCGTGCCACTGCACTCCAGCCTGGGCGACAGAGGGAGACTCTGTCTCAAAAAATTAAATTAAATTAAATAAAACAAAATACAAAGGAGAAATACAGTAGCAATGAAAATATAAAATGTTTTGAAATAAACTTTAAGAGACTATAACAGAAGATTTAAACAAATTGCAATCTACCCAGTTCTTAGAAGGCAGACTGTATTATAAAAATATCATTTAATCTCAAACTAATCTGTAAAGCTAAGAAAACCACAATCAAAATACCAAGTATTAGAACTTGGCAAAGTGAAATTATTTTTTATTTTTGAGACAGGATCTCACTCTGTCCCCCAGGCTAGAGTGCAGTGGCACGATCTCGGCTCACTGCAACCTCTGCCTCCCAGGCTCAAGCGATTCTCCTACCTCAGCCTCCCAAATAGCTGGGATTGCAGGTGCAGGCTACCGCACGCCTGGCTAATTTTTGTACACACCCGGTCAGCAAAGTGAATTTAAAAGTACATTTGGAAGGATATAGCATAAGTTTTAAAGTGTTTAAAAAAGAATAGTAGGGAGAAATTTGCTTTATCAGATATTGAACTATATTATAGTGCTGAAATTTTCAATATCTGATAAAACAGTGGCTAGAACTGGAACCAAAAGATTCATAAAACAGAACTAAATTCAAAAATCCCCAAACATATCTATGCATATAAAATACTTCAGTATATGATAAAGGTGGCATTTCAAATAAGTGGGGAAAGAATGGATTAGTCAATAAAGGGGGTTGACAACACTTTCTTGCCCTTTCTCCCCAAAAGCATAATAAAGTGTGGGTGAAACTGTACTAATACATGAACACCTCTTATAGATCATTAAGGAAAAGACAAACATCCCCATTGAAAAACAGGCTTATAGAAGGAGGATCCCAAGATCTGCGCCCCAGAATCTCGTCCCAAAGCCTAGCACCAAAACAGCAAAGCAGTCCTCCTTCAAGAAAACTGAAGGCACCCGGGCATGGTGGCTCACGCCTGTAATCTCAGCACTTTGGGAGGCCCAGGCAGGCAGATCACGAGGTCAGGAGTTCGAGACCAGCCTGACCAACATGGTGAAACCCTGTCTCTACTAAAAACACGAAAATTAGCCGGGCATGGTGGCACGTGCCTGTAATACCAACTACTTGGGAGGCTGAAGCAGAAGAATCACCTGAACCTGGGAGGCGGAGGTTGCAGTGAGCCAAGATCATGCTATTGCACTCCAGCCTGGGCAAGAGAGTGAGACTTCGTCTCAAAACTCCTCCATGGCCAAGCACACATCAGACAGCGAGAGCTGCCCACCGTGCCTGCACTTTTACCCTTCCTCGGCCATCCTCTCGCCCAGACCTTTATCTTCAAAGGAACCAAGATCCCCCAGCCTGCCCCGAGGTGCCTCTGGAGCTACCCTCCTGCCCTTCCTCCTCCCACCACCAAACTTCTGCAGGACTTTCATCTACTGCCCAGCTTCTCCTCTACCCGGCCTGTAAGTGTTTGGCTTCTGGAGCCTCCCTCCCATCAATCCCACTCTCACCACTGACTTTCTGGTTGCCAGGTGCCTCACCTTTTATTTTCTTTCTTTGTTTTTAATGGTGCTACAGCAATTTATCAGTGTTCTTGAAATTCCATTCCGTGGATCCCAGGACCCCAGCGCCCTCCTGGTTCGTGGTCTTGCCCACTCTCTCCTAGGATAGATATTTTAAAAGATCCTGCTCTTATTCCTCAGCTCTTTTACCCTTCTGTCCTCTCCAGCTCAGCAAAAGCACTCATACCTGGGGCTTCCTGCTATCTCCCCCAACTCAGAAAAGAATTCCCAGGACTCTCTCTTCCGCTCTGACTCTGTCTCTCCAACTCAGTTCATATTTTCAATTGCCTTCTGGCCATTCTCTCTCTCTTCTTTTTGAGATGGGGTCTCACTCTGTCACCCAGGCTGGAGTGCAGTGGCGTAATCATAGCTCACTGCAGCCTCGATCTCCTGGGTTCAAGCAATCCTCCCACTTCAGCCTTCTGAGTAGCTGGGATCACGGGCATGCAGCACCACGCTCAGCTAATTTTTCTGCAGAGATGAGGCCTCACTATGTTAGCAAGGCTGGTCTCGCAACTCCTAGCCTCAAGCAATCCTGCCTCAGCCTCCCGAAGTGCTGATTACAGGTGTGAGCCACTGCCCGGCACTATTCTCTCTTAACCACACACTAGGACCCCCGACTCATAGTTCTAAAGCCAGATTTTGCTGTCTTACTTAATATGCTCACCATTACCAATGTTGCTCAGGCCCTAAGCCCAACATCATGTCCACCCCCAATCTACAAGTGGCCACTTTGACTTACCACATTCTCCCCTGGAAAGTCTCTCACAGTTAGCTTTCCTCCCCATTTTACCTTCCAACACCACCTTGGCTTGCCTCTTTTTTTAAAAAAATGACTCCCCAAACTACAGCAGTTGCTTTTTGTTGATCTTCTTGCCCCTTAACTCCATCCTTTCCAGTCCAACCTGCACCATGTTGGGAGACAATTCTCCATGAATATCTCACATCCTGCACTGTCTGGGTCTGTGAGCAAAGACATTTACATCAATTTTAAGACTGTTTCTATAACGAGCCTTTCCAGGGTAGTCAACCTGGGAGAGAGCTCCCTCCAGAGAGGTTCTAGGTGGTAAAGATCAAGACCTCACCTTCTCCTCCTCAGAGGTTTACATTCCTAAGATAAGGTCTCTCCAGAGAGAAGTACGCGCAGGCCACCACCAGCTCACAACAAGATGGACGCGTAGTTCTGGGGTCCCTTTCTTGTAATGCATCCCACTGCATGTACAGGCAGTAACATCTGGCCTTCATTATGTTGCCCCGTGGGGCTTGGGCCTTGGGGAATCAAACTGGACTACCTTGTTAACTTCTAAGTTGGGTAAAATCTCGGACCCTAGAGTTTCTGACTTAACACATCACCACCAAATTATCTTTCTGAAGATCTGCTTTGGCCACGTGATTTCCCTGCTTGAAATCCTTCAATGGCTTCCCACTACAGAATACAGTTCTTACCTGTCACCTTTCCAGCTGGTCCTCTCACTTCTTCCTTATGTAAACCCTGTGCTCCTGTCAATCTGGACCCCAGGATGTGTTCCATACACAGGCATTCATATACTGCCTCATGTTTCTGGACATGCCTGAACGCTATACTTAAGATTGCAGAAGAGATAAAATTTTACCCATGAAACACCAGTGCCTAGGCTGCCACCGTTTCCTTCTTCCAGTGTGTTGCCATGGCTCCTTCTGGGTAGGCTGATGGGAAGACAGCCTGCTCTCTGCTGTAGTCATAACGAGATGAACTGATGACCAGTGCTGGGGCCCAAGGTGACTGTGCTCTGGTTGGACATCTGGAAAATGAACTGCCCCTGAGAATGCTTGGCTTGAAACTGTCCAACAGGATAGCTCTCAATTTGATGGCAGCCAAAAAACCTACAGAGCTCCTCTCTTTAAGAAGTGTCAGGGGGTAAGGAGAGGCAACTCATCTTCTAGTGAATAGTGAGTTGTAATTTTGGTTATTCCCTAAGCTCTACATCTTAGTCTTAGCTTGTCCCACATTTCTGGGTGTTCTTGCAATAAATTCCCAAGCAAAGACAACATGGGCATGTATTTTCTTGCAGCCTCAACTGTTTAATTCAAGTGCTCTCCCCACTGATCTCTGAGACATGTGGACAAAGACGTTGGTGGATGCATTTTATTGTGGTGGACACAATAAAAATGTGTTCACTAGTATGGGCTGGTTAAGTGATCACATTCATCAAATATAAGATACATCCCAATTTCAGAGACATTAAAATATCAATCAAATGGCCTACAGTAGTTACGTGATATAGTTGATTGTTCTAATATGTGAAAAAATGTGGGTCTTAGACTTGGAGAACTAAGGTATGGTGTATTCACACAGTGGACTACTTTGCAGCTGGGGTAGGTAATGGCATAAAAGGAGGTGTGTGTTGTGTTACCTGTAAAAACCTGTGCTTGAAAAATAAACAGTTTTAAACTAGGGGGTGAACACACGCATATAGTTTAAGTATTTTTGCAGTTTTTTGTATGTCTAAGATATGTTATATACTTTTCTTTTTTTTTCCCAAGCTGGAGTCTTGGAAAAGTCCAAGGCTGGAGTGCAGTGGCTTGATCATGGCTCACTACAACCTCCACCTCCCAGGTTCAAGCAATTATCCTGCCTCAGCCTCCCAACCATCTGGGATTACAGGCACCTGTCACCACATCTGGCTAATTTTTGTATTTTTAGTAGAGATGGGGTTTCACCATGTTGGCCAGGCTGGTCTTGAATTTCTGACCTCGTGATCCACCCGCCTCAGCCTCCCAAAATGCTGAGATTACAGGCATGAGCCACTGTGTCCAATATGTTATAATTATACATATACATTCCGATATGCTATAAAGTTATACCCAGCCAATATGTTATACATTTTTCTCCAAATAGGACTAGCAACATTTTTGTTATGTTATACATTTTTATGTTATACATTTTGTTATACATAACAAATTATGTTATACATTTTTTCTAACTGGGCCTAGCAACCTGCTTTATCTCCCCTGTTCTGTGGGAGACCTCGTGTTCAAGTGATAGCTTAAAAATCAATTCTCGGCTGGTCGCGGTGGCTCACGCCTGTAATCTCAGCACTTTAGGAGGCCAAGGCGGGCAGATCATCCGACGTTAGGGGTTCGAGACCAGTCTGGCCAACATAGTGAAACCTCATCTCTACTAAAAATACAAAAATTAGCCGGGCGTGGTGACAGGCGCCTGTAATCCCAGCTACTCCGGAGGCTGAGGCAGGAGAATCGCTTTAACCCAGGAGGCGGCAGTGCACCGAGATAGTGCCACCACACTCCAGCCTGGGGACAGAGTTAGACTCTGTCTCAAGAACAAAAAAATAAAAAATAAAAAAATAAAAATAAAATAAAAAGACAAAAACAAATCAATTCTATAAAGGAGTTGAGAGAAACATTCACTGTCCCTTATCTCTACATGTTGCTTATCAGAATAAAAAAAATTCCAGCAACATCAGTCATGGGCACAAAGCCAACTCGCAAACATTTACAGAACTCGATGATTACCCAAAACTCAGCTTGCTTTCTCAATACTACTAACTTTAGTTTCACTTAGCCACAGGTGTGTCTAGAGTTAAACAAGGTCAACTTTACAAAAAGATATTTGGGCATAGTTTTTAAAAAACTTCAAAGTGTGTGTGCGCGCGCGCGTGTGGTGGGGCATTTCAATATAAATGCCTTAAACACAACCTTCCTGACTATTTTATAAAATGGGTTGACTCTTTAAGGACACATATTTCCTAAAACCTCGACTGATACACAGAGTGCAAACTTGAGAGCCACACTAGACCGCCTCAGAATCATGCCAGCTGTGTGGCACTGGAAAGTCACCTAACTTTGCAGCACCTACCTTCACCTCTGTAAAATGGGAGACAATAATAACTCATTTATGGATGCTGTAAAGATCTGAAATTTTAAACTCAGTAATGCGCCTGGCACATATTAGACGCGGGTGTTTCGTTTGTCTTGGCAAAGGCTTCGGGTTTTGGGCCAATAGCCTTGCTGCCTCTGGAGCAAGCATCTCTCCTTGCACCCTACCCTCTGGGGCATTTAAAAATTACCTCAACTCTACTCTCAATTATTTCCAGTTCAACATTTATGTGCAGGTTACAAAGCCGAGGAAACTGAGGTTCTAGCCTATGGGTATCTTCTAAACTAACACAGCACGTACAGAAATTTTTTTAAGTTTGGTGGAGGAATCGGCAGCACAAGGCAAGCGGCGTTCTGTTCACAGACCTGGGAATCAGAACTCTGGGCGCCGCGGCCTCCAGGCGCCTCTCGGCTCCCCGCAGACTTCCTGCCCCAGAGGGAGGGGAGGTCAGCTTGCTGCAGAAAGCCGCCGGACCCCCGGCACCCCGCCTTGCCGCCCCCTACTCCCACTCTCTGGAATGGGGAGCGAAGGGTCTAGGCGATAGCACTTACCAGCGCGAAGTGCACCAGCGCGTCGTAGCAGAGCCAGATGAGCGCCCCGCGGTCGGCCACCCCCCGCCCGCGGCCCAGGCGCAGGCCCAGAGCGCAGCCCGCCGCCAGCAGCGCGGCGCACAGCAGCAGCGACCCGCCAGCCTCGGCCCCCAGCTCCCACTCAGCGCCCATGCTTCCGGCTCCCGACGCCAGCGGCCGGAGACCATGCGGCAGAGGAAAGCCGGGAGAGAAACGACGGGGCGGGGCTGGCCGGAAAGGGGCGGAGCCGGATGGCCAAAGAGGAGCGGAGCTGAATGGCCAAGGCGGTCCGGGGAGGCACTGGGCTCCTCGGCAGGGTCGGGACCAGCGCTAGTATTCCCTGCCCGTCTCGCACCCTCGCCAGCCTGCTGAGCCCAGAGGTTTTGTCAGGTCCCGCGCATGGAGGTTCCCTAGGAGGACCGTGCTCACCAACTTACTCAACTCCCTCGACCAAACCTGTTCCCAAACCAAGCCTGGAGGATTGGTAATAGGGCCACACCCTTTGATGTTGTTTGATTTTTAACAAGCTCAAACTTCAAGCCACAAAGTGAAGCCCAGGTAGTGGAAAGTTTGCCAGTAGACCGGGGCAGAATTTTAGAGGCGAAAGGTTTCAATTAGGCTCCTGCAAGCCTTACCAAGGAGGTGGGGGGGTTAAGGGTGTTTTCAGCCACCAGCCGGCTTAAAGCCCTTGTGGCCTACTTTGACAATCTTTCCATTTCTCCAGAAAAGTAGAAGTGTGGGTGAGAGGAGCGGTAAGTCCTATTGGCTTGGCGATAGATGTGTTTCACCTGTGGCAGGCCAGGTCTCACTATGGCAGGCCTCCATCACACCTGTTTCACCACTGACTGACTGGTTAAGTTAAATATTAAAAGCTGAAAGAGTCAGTGCCCATATACAAAGGCTGGAATGTAACAAAAGCCCACGAAGTTTTGCCTAGGCCTTTCTTGGGCCTTGAAGCATGACAAGATAACGAAGGAATTCTTAACAGGACCCGTTTAGGATTAAACAAGTTTTATTGGGGGATCTGAAGAAACTCCCCAGGCCTCCACAAACAAGTTTATTGGGGGTCTGGAGGAATTCCACAAGCCTCCATGATTTTAGCAGGAGACAAAATAAGGGTAATCATCCCAGCACCCAGACCCATTTAGATTAAGTAAATTTACTGAGGCTCCAGAGGAAGGTCTTCAGGATTAGAAGTTGTTAATCACTTGTGTCTTTAGATGAATGCACTCTTACACGTAGAGATACAGCTTAGAAGGTATATACACGCTGGAAAAACTTTGTAATTATGAATTGGTCTGGCAATAATTTCCAGACCTTCTCCCTGTAACCGGTTGCAGAAATAAAAACTCTTCTTCCGCGGTTCATCTGCACCTTGTTAATTGGGCTGCCCAACCCCCAGTTTGGTCCGGGAACAAACCTACATTATTTAACTTCACAACCCTATGAGGTCAGTGAAACAAGCCACTCACAAAAACATACTTATGATTCCACTTACAGGAAATGTCTAAAATAATCGATTTGCAGAAACAGAATGGTGGTTACCAGGGGCAGGGCGGGGAGGGGGGGCGTGGGGAAAAGTGGAGTGTTATTTATTGGGATAGTTTCAGATTTGCAAGATGATGTTCTAGAGATTGGTTGCACAACAACGTGAACATATTTTACTGAGCTGCACACTAAAAATGGTTAAGATGGCAAATTTTATGTGTATTTTACAATTATAAAAAAAATGCTGGCACTGAACACAAGAACTTTTTCCCCTGGTCACTTTCTATACAATTTTTTTATAGCAGTTAACACCAGATAGAATGATCCTTGTTTATGCACTTATTGCTAATCTCTTGCCACTACAATGTAAGTCTTCAAGGCCAGGGGTTGTGGCTACCTTTTTACTGCTGTATCCCTGGCACCTATTACAGAGTTTGGCATATACTAGCTGCTCAGTTAAATAACTGGCGACTGAGTATGGCCAATCTAGCCACCTATGCTCTGGATCCTGTCCTGTAACTAACTTATCACCCTTTGGGGACCATGCTGCCCACCTCCTCTTCGGAGCAAAATAGAAACTGAAAAAACTGATCAGATCCCCTGTCTTCATGTCTTGACCCTGCTCCTCAGTCCTTTCTACTCTAGTTCCTGCCTTATCACACTGATACAGCTCTCACTAAGGTGACTACTGGCCTCCACATCAGTGAACCCAAAGAGCAGTTCGTTTTCTTAGTTTACTTCTGAGCAGCATCACAGCACTGAAATATTTTTCCTTTGATTTTCTTTTTCTTTCTTTTTTTTTTTTTTTG